GACTCGATGGCACATAACAACAACAATTATGAAACCTATCAATATAAATTTAGATGTCAAAAGCTATGCAAAAACAATTTCAAAGCTCCTGAGTAATAATATTTTATCTATTCCACAATAAATGTCCACCTTTAAACTATGAAGGATTTCTGAGGTTCGACTACAGTATTACGCTCACTGGGAATGAGGATAAATGAAATTCACAAAGGTTCCAATTCATTAAACAGTCAGACCCTCACTCTCCCTTTGCCAGAAATTACTTCCCGTTCTTTGTACTAGGACAGCCCTTAGAATGTACACCTATTGTTTTTCCCTTTTCACCTTGTGCCAGAAACTTGTGTGTAAAGTTTTAACTTTCCATTAGAACAGAGCCTCTAAGAAACTATTCTTTTTTTTTAATTTTTATTGTATTATTTTTACGTGTACCGTCAAATCAGATCTGACTGGTACAGGAGGAGATTGCACCCTCCTTCTTCAGCAGAGCATCTGGTGGATTTGAACCGCGTACCTCCGGGATTGCAATGCAGCATCCCTAAGAAACTATTCTTAACTCACCGGTAACACCCAATACTGTGTCTAACCTAAGATAATAAAAATATTTTCTGTTTTTCTCAATGAGGTTGGAATTAATGCAAAGGGGACTCTCTAACGAGTTTTATAAATCACACATGCAGAGATTGTCCATCATTGTCTTTCAGAGCAGCTGGTGGATTCAAATTGCCTGCCTTTAAGCTGGCAACACAACTGGCCCTCTAGGCCACCAGAGGTCCCTTTGTTGACAACAAAATAACTATATTAGACATATGTCCAGCAAAAGAACTATTTTCACTAATACTAAATGCTACAATATGATCTACTTCTCAGGAATATTCTCACTACTTCCTATTATTTTGACATGCTTGATTTGCTAAAATCGAATTGATCCTTTCACTCAACTAGGTTGGTCTACTCACTGTCTTAGGGATTTTTAAGTCCATGTTTGGTCCTGTTATTTCTCTTAGCTGAAATGCTTTCCCTTCTATCAGCTTTTCAAAATTTTATAGTTCCCTGCAAGTACCAGTCCAGACAGTCCCCTAAGAGTTCTTTCCATCTACAGAGATCAAACTCAGTTCTGAATTCTAACAATTATGTTATCATCTGCTTAGCAATTATTTACTTAGCCCTCTGGATGTTGTTAAAATGTAAACTTCTTGGGAGCTCTGTTGGCCTAGTGGTGAGAAGCTGCACTCCAGTCACAAAGGTATGAGGTTCAAATCCAGCAGCTGTTCCATGAAAGAAGGATGGGCAATCTCCCTCTGTGCAATTCACTGACTCTGAAAACCTTCTGGTGGGTCAGGTATGGGTCATTTTTGACTCAGTGGCACAAAACAATCTAGATCAATCTACCATGTTAGCACAGAACTGAGCACTGGAAGCCTGGATTCCAAAGCTGCTCCACTATATCTGAGGGGGGGAAGTTCCTTTAAAATGTACCCTTCTGGGGAGTTCTGGTGGCCTAGTGGCGCAAGAAGCTGCACTGCAATCCCAGAGATATGTGGTTCAAATCCACCAGATGCCCTGCTGGAGAAGGAGGAGCAATCAATCTCCTCCTGTACCAGTCAGATCCAATTTGACAGTACACACACAAAAAAATAATAATTTTTTTAAAAAAGAAATCTATCCAAATCATTTAAAAAAAAAAAAAGGTACCCTTCTTCCATAGTAGCCCAGCTATACTAAACTGCTGTTGTTGTTAAGTGCCATTTAGTTAGAGCTAACTTATAAGTGACCTTCCAGGGGGTTTTCAAAGGTTATGAATTGCATGAGAGGAGAAACTTCATCTCTCTCCTGCAGAGCAGCTGATAGATTCAAACCACCTGCCCTCGGGTTGGCAGTGAAACTCCTTAGCTGACAGGCCATCAAGAAAGAAGGGAATGCACTTCTCTGCAACATTTATCATAGACTAAAAACTTTACATACATTTTCTCAAATGGGTCTTACCATAATCTTACTAGGTATGCTATCACAAACTCATTTTAAAAATGAGGATAGAGAAGCTCAGGACAGTTATCCAAGTTCACTCAGCAGGAAATAGTGGAATCAAGATCTCAAACCAGAAGAGCTTGACTCCAAACCTGATCCTCCTTTGTTGTATCATTCTGCCTTACATGCTATACAGAATCTGGGTTTCAGACCTCCATCTCTTAAAAAATCACTTAAATTAGTGGACTGTTAGAAATATGAAATGAGATAAAATAAGTTAAAAGCATCATAAAAATAACAGTTATTTCTATTTTTGGTATTAATCCATGTAACAGTC